GTGAATCTCTGTCTATTCTCAAAGAAAATAAAGAACTCGAAAAGAGGGGCTCTAATTATTCGATAAATCCCTGATGACAGATTAACTTCAAGAACTGTCAGCCAACAACGTATAAATGACCATTTGGCCGCTTTTCACAGTTAAAGTGCCCCTGATGTAATTCCTGTAAAATAAACAGACTATGCAACCTGTCAATAGTTAGCGAATGCAAAAATGAGAATTATGCGACATGAACCGACTAATATGAGGATAAATTTTGGGGTATTACAGATAGGAATATTGTTTCCACAAATATGATAATCTTCTAACTAATATTTCATCTAGAGCAGCTGTGTGTAGTACTTAGTAGCAGAGATGTATTCTGATTCTGCTGTAGAGAGAGCAATAGTTTCCATTCTCTTTCCAGCCCAGAATATTTGGTTTTCACATATGAATTGACAATTTCCACTAGTGGACTTTCTCTCAATTCTATCCCTATCATAATGAACATCACAGAATTCAACTAACTTATAATCTAAGGATTTCATATAAAGTAGTCCCATATTTATTTTTCCTTTCAGATACCTAAAGATTCTCTTAGCAACACTTAAATGAGTTTATCTAGGATCTGATTGAAATCTTACACACAAACAAACACTGAATAAAATATCAGGCATATAAGCAGTTAGGTAAAGCAAAGAAACCAATCATACCTCTGAAAATATTTTGACCCACCTTTGAGCTGATTTTTTCTTTGTTTAGACTACAGGTAAGATGCATAGAAGTTTCCATAACCTTGCAATCTTCAAGATTAAACTTCTTTAGAAGCTCCTTTGTATATTTGGACTAATGATCATAAGTTCCATATTTTCCTTGGTTGATTTGGATTCCCATAAAGAATTTCAATTCTCTCATCATGCTCATTTCGAATTATGTCTGCATAGAGTTACAAAGTTCTTTGCACAAAGATGCACTAGTGGAACCAAAGATTATGTGAATGTTGTATTTATTTGAAACTTATTATAATGCATCTCTAAGAATTAATTTGAAGTCTCCAAAATTGGAAGCTTTCATGGAAAATACTAGTATTAGTCTTACTGTCAAGAACAATATTCTCATCAGCTGCTTAAAAAATTATCCAAACACAAGTTTTTATGTCTACCATGATTATACTAAGTCCAAAATATGTTTCAGATAAAATATTTTGATGTTGATTTTCCAAAAGGCTATATTTTACTAAAGAGATTAAATATTGAACTAGTTGATGACTTAGAAAAGTCAGTACCTCTCCATCAAACTTATATACACTATTGGGTTTTTGCAAGATATAATCAACCTTTAAACCTCACAAACAATAGTCAAAATGATAATGTTTTTGGACAATACTATGGTCTTGGATCTAAAACAAGAGGCACATACACATATTCCATATCCTTATGGGATAGAAGTTGGTGATCCTGAAGAAATTCTAAAAGGGTATGTTAGAAAATGGTTGATTAACGTTCATACTATTGATACTACCACACCATCATGTTTAGTGATTTCCTAATTCCTATCAAGTTGCTTTTAGTGGAGGTCATTTCTGCTTGGAATGTGAAAAAAAAAATCTATTTCAAAAGTAATTTAAGAATCTTGAGGACAAGATTGAAGTGAAGTCAGTGACAATTATATGATTATAAAGTTAGTTTTAGACAATTTAAATATATAAGTTAGAAGAAGAATTTATCTTACTTGAATTTTATTGAGAGTATTGTTTAGTTGGGCTTTTTGGCTTTCAGGCCTTTTACTTTGCTATTTACTAGCAACATTGTATATGTACTCTCAATGTGAGACTCATTTGTTATGAGCATGATTTTCCGATGTTGTGAGATAAACAAAAATTACACTAAAAAGATGCTAACAAATCTAAAATCAACTTTTTTATTCATTTAATTGATGATAGTTACATTCACCAATCATCTACTTATAGCACTGACATCAACCAATTATTCATTATCTAGATTCTTCTAAAGAGTAGTGACTCACCATCATGAATCTTAATGAGCTTATAAAACTTGAAATTAGATCATTACAAGGAGATGGTTAATGACTTGAGTATTTTTTCTTGTAACTTTGTAAAATATCATAAGATTATCTGAAAAAATAGTTAAGAATGGTTATCTTACCGATAGATATACATATTAACTTACCCTGATTGACTAATGTAACACCCTTCTAAACCCCGCGGAATATATACAAATAATCAGAGTAATTATCATGCATCTCACAAAAGGGTGTCACGTATAATTTCAAAACATCGCACAAATATTTGTCATACTCATTAACACTTAAAATAATTTCATGGATTTCAATCCTTTCACTTAGCATGTAGCAACGGAATTACTTCAATTATAATAGACATAATGAAAGTCTTATGCTCATCTCATTCATAATCAATACTTAGGCATAAAAGTCAATACTTCATATAATTCAAAATAACAGTAACAGAATAAAGTAGAGTACATAATATATATATATATATATATATATATATATATATATATATATATATATATATATATATATATATATATATATATAATATATATATATATATATAATATATATATATATATATATATATATATATATATATATATATATATATATATATATATATATATATATATATATATATATATATATATATATATATATATATATATATATATATATATATATATTTAACACCAAAGAAGATAACAGTTTATATATATATATTTTTAGATTGTTTAAATTGAATTTTAGTTTTTTTTTATTATTTGAAATGAAAATAAATTGATAAAATCCTAAAACGAAAAAAATAATAATAATAAATTGGCCTAGTAGCCACACAGGATGGCGACACATCCCAACTCCCTTACACAGAGTCGCCAATCAACATAGCGTGTGCATTTTCATTGTACTAAGTCGTCAATCCCCCTGACGACACCATGTTGAATTGTGGCTAGTTCCGTGAATTTTTTGAAAAACTTATTTATTTGGTATTATTTTTGAAATATCTAATTATCTTAAAAAATAAATAAAAAATCACAAATCCACTTAGCTTCTAATACATGTGCTACGCTATGCTACAGGTGAATTCACAAATTTATTGCCTAAGGACATTTTCCTGCACTACAGCAGGTGCACTGAAAGAATAAAACAAAACATATTACACTCATTGCCCATCATTATTAAGCTACAGTGGCAAATACATTAAAGATATCACTTGTCTCCTATAAGTCCTGCGCTATACTACAATCACGTAATGATAGTATGGAAAACCACTTAATTTCTATTACTCATAATTGATTCACTACTGTATATTTTAATTGCCTTGTAGTTCCCTAGCACTACAGCATGAACAAGACAATATATCACTTGTCTCCTTAATTTATTGCTACATGACAGGGGTGGACAAAACATTACCGTCCGAGACAAACCGTCCGACTCGAATGGGATTTTGGGCAACGGGTCGGATAATTTCAAGATGTGGATTCAAACGGGTCATTAAATTGGATAACATCGGATGATTTCGCTCGGACTCGGTTGGTAATATTTGGCCTGTCGGAATCCAAATCCGACCGAACATACACAGAGCTGGATTTTCTGTTTTTCTTGGCCCAAGCTTGCGCTCAATTCATGGCCCAAATCTTTCTTGATTCCATCTGAATGAGATTAGGGTTGCCGTTCTCAAACTATCGTTTTCCTGAAGCGAACCTACTGTCAATCGCCGTTTTCACAAACTTGCCATCTGTTCTCGTATCTTTCCATTCCTCTCTGATCTATTATTAAGTTTCTTAACATCTCTCTTGTGAAGGTAAGATCTCGCACACTCTCTCTCAGATATATGATTATGGATTGCTCAGATCTTCGTTGTTTTTAATTTTTTCTAATTTATTTTCTTATTTTGAATGGAATTTGAACATTCAGGTTTTGGAATTTCATGAGTTTTTAAAGTTAATTGAAGGTTAGAGTTTTGTTTCTGTTTTACTTGTTTTAATCTTTTATACCTGTTTTAATAACTCCATTTGTGTTCTTTTTTGGAGATATGCAAGAAGTTGAAGAAGTTGGAAACTTGCAAGGAGCTGAAAATTTGTATAATAACAGTAAGTTTAGGTTTAATTTATGTATGTTTATGTGAGTTTAAGCTAATTTTAATTTTATGTTTTTTGTATATTTCTGATTATGTTTATTACTATATGTAGAATTTGATATGAAGAAGTAGATTTGAGTGTTTAGATCAAAAAGATACTGTATTTGAGTTTGTTTAGATCAAAGAGATACTGTATTTGGTTATAAACTAAAATTATGTATGTTTATGTGAATATGTTAATAACAGTTTTGCTTAGAAATTGGATTTGAATTTTATGTATGTTTAGAAACAGTTTGGGTTTAGAAATTTAAGAGGTTTGGGTTTAGAAACTAAAGTAGAAACTAAATTATTGCATTAAGAGTGTACTTAGAACTGCAGAATGCAATAAATTATTGATTTCGTAAGCAAATGTACTTAGAACTTAAGTCATAAGAGTGCAAAAGCTGAACATATCTCACATAAAAACTGCAGAACCCAGTGACATTTTTTGAGAATTGCATGCCATATGTGAAACTGCAGAACAACTATTTAAAAGGGAAATGTAATTTAAAAATTATCATTAAAACTACATAACCAAATATTTAGTAATTTAAAGATTATAAAAAATGCAGAACTAAATATTTAATAATTTTAAAGATTATTCTTTAAACTACAGAACCTAGTATTATTCTGAAAAGGAAAAGTGGCGTATTCATTATGAGTGCAAACAATTTAGTAACATTTATTGAGAATTGCAGAACCTGGATTATCCTTAAAACTAAGCATCTAGTCAATGTCATTAAAACTAAATAAAGAGTGTAATATACCACAACAACCAAAAACTTATTTTCACTAAGCATCTAAACACTTAATGAGTTAAAAATGTTGGTTGTGTGTTGATTATAATCTTCATTAATTTTCAGCAATGGAGAATGTTACTCAACACCAGCCTTCTACATTAACATCTGGTGTTGTTGCAACTGAAATTCATGTTGTTGGGCTTCCTCCACTTGGAAAGAAAAGAAAACCAAATGCTAATGGTCCTAGGAAATCGTCTCCTGCATGGGACCACTTTATTAAATTACCTAATGAAACTGAACCAGTAGCTGCTTGTAAACACTGTCATAAAAAGTATTTGTGTGATCCAAAATCCCATGGGACATCTAACATGCTTGCTCACACAAAAATATGCACCAAGAGGCCACAAAATGATCCTACTCAAACTGCCCTTTCCTTTGCTAGTGGAGAGGGTGGTGGCTTGGTTGCTGCAAGCCAACAATTTAATCTGGCAGCTTGTAGAAAGGCTATTGCTCTATTCGTGATCCTAGATGAACATTCTTTTAGAGTAGTTGAAGGGGGGATTTAAGTTGCTATGAAAAAAATTACAACCCCAATTAACTATTCCATCGAGGAGGACAGTGGCGAGGGACTGTTTTCAACTTTTGGTTGATGAAAAAGTAAGATTGAAAGGTTATTTCAAATCTGATTGCAATAGGGTGGTCTTCACCACTGATTGTTGGACATCCATTCAGAATCTTAGCTACATGACTCTAACTGCACACTTTATTAACAATGATTGGAAGTATGAAAATAGAATTCTAAGTTTTTTTTTAGTTCCTAATCATAAGGGTGAGACAATTGGTAGGCAAGTTGAAGAGATATTAAAGGAGTGGGGAATAAGGAATGTGTCCACAATCACAGTGGACAATGCAACATCTAATGATGTAGTTGTTGCTTATTTGAAGAAGAGGATTAATAATATAGGTGGTTTAATGAGTGATGGGTCTTTCTTTCATCTTCGTTGTTGTGCACACATTCTAAATCTGGTGGTTCGTGATGGTTTAAAATAAAATGAATTATCTATTTCTGCCATTAGAAATGCTGTTAGATTTGTGAGATCATCAAAGTTCAAAGAATGTATTGAGTTTTCTAGAATTAATTGTAAGAAAATTTTATGTCTTGATGTTCCAACAAGGTGGAACTCATGTTATTTGATGTTAGATGCTGCTGAAAAGTATCAAGCAGCATTTGAGAAAATGGAAGGTGAAGATTTTAGCTATTTGGAATTTTTTGGGTTAGTTGGTCCCCCTACTCTTAATGATTGGGATAATGTTAGGTGTCTTGTAAGCTTTTTCAAAATTTTCTATGAAGCTACTATGGAATTTTCTTCGTCAAAACAAGTGTCCCTTCATAAGTCGTTCCACCAACTAGCTTCAATCCACTGTGAGCTAAAAAGATCATCCATGAACTTGAACACAATTTTAACCTCAATGGGATATGAAATGAAGCAGAAGTATGACAAATATTGGGGAGAAATTGAAAATGTCAACAAGTTTATTTACTTTGGTGTGATTATTGACCCTCGATACAAGTTAGGATATGTGGAGTGGTGTTTTAATGATATGTATAATGATGAGTCTGTGCCTTTTACTAATCTGATTGATGTGATAAAAAAAGATTTGTTTAAACTATTCAATTGGTACAAGGGTATACATGACCAACAACATGGTACTAGTCCTATTGAGGGTAGTTCACCTGGTGATGGTGTTGTTCCTACTACTGAAATTCCATCTCATAATGCAAGAGTTGAAGCTTTTAAGGAGCACCTAAAACAAAAAGATTCAATAGATAAAAAAATGATCTTGAGAGGTACCTAGATGACAATTGTGCTGATGATGTTAACTTTGACATCCTAATGTGGTGGAAACAAAACTCTTGTAGATACCCTGTTTTAGCAAAAATGGTGAAAGATGTTTTAGCTAGTCCTGTGTCAACTGTTACTTCTGAAAGCACGTTTAGTACTGGGGGCAGAGTTCTAGACACATATAGAAGCTCGTTAAGCCATGAAATGGTAGAGGCTTTGATTTGTGCACAAAACTGGTTAAAACTTACACTTAGTCAATTCAAGGATCTGAATATAAATAAAGATTTTGAGGTGTCTTTCACTACTGTATCAGGTATATAAAATTGTGTATTTAGTCTACTAATATATTGGGTTTGATTTTAATTTAATTGTTTGGTTTTTATTTACTGTTTTGTAGAATTTGGTGGTTCATCTGTTAGTGGATCAACATTTGGTTGTGATTCTAATGTTGTTGGAAAAGGAAAAGAACCAGTTGCTGGTTCATCTCAATCACATACTTAATGTTGGTAGTGGTTTGTGCATTTTTCATTTTATTTACTGCTTTACTTATATCTATGTTTATGAAATGTATTAATATATTTTTTGTTTCATTTCAGTTTGTTTTTTGGAGTCATTTGTGTAAATGACCTTATTTTGGGCTATTGATTATTATGGATAATCAACTTTTATATATATATATATATATATATATATATATATATATATATATATATATATATATATATATATATATATATATATATATATATATATATATATATATATATATATATATATATATATATATATATATATATATATATATATATATATATATATATATATATATATATATATATATATATATATATATATATATATCAGCAAATATTTGTGAAAATGACCTCAACAATTCACTTTTTTGGTGATGATAGATCAACCAATATCATCACATGATAGGTATTTGTTCCACTAAAAATATATTGCATTTTGTAAACTTCTATTTGACATATTGAAAATCATATTATGTTTAATATTAAATGACACTTTTCAAATGATTCTTTGCTTCTACAATGCTTGGCTTTTGTTTCTTAATTCTTGCAGACGTCTAACTGGTGCTGCTGTATCGTGCAACTTGTTTTGGTGGTCCTGTTTCATTCTCGTGGCACATGCAGCAGCAAAATCTAGTTGTTTTTTGCTTCAATGGATTTCTGAGTGTTGGAGAGTGGGGGGTTGCATCTGCGTTGCCAGGTTTGTGATAGTTTGGTTGTCTCTATTTGTGCATATGTTAAAGCTTCATGTCTTGTAAGATGCTTAAGCTAGAAGTTAAATGGTTGTTTTGGTCTTTGTGAAGGCACTGTGGTTATGGTTCATCATAAATGCTATTGAAACATGTATTGATCTATGGTGTTTTAACATTGTCATGGTTGCATCTATTGCTGTCAGAATTTGGTTTTTCATGCTAAAAACCTGTTTGTATTTGTTTTGATAAGTAGTAACTTTCATTAAAAACAATATAAATAATTAGAGTTTGATGTTGGCATTGTAATGACTAAACTGTTACTATCATGACGTTCATTGACGGGATTAACCAACCATACTCTTTACAGGTTGCAGAAATCCTTAAAGATTGGCCCTCGTGGTATCATGATTGCCGAGTTGTGGATGTTCTGAATGTGCTCCCCATAGCAAATGGTGGAACCATTGAGCTTCTTTACATGCAAGTAAAACAACTCAAATTCAGTGTCTACGAATGGTGACTTTGTAACATAACATACTATGGATATCTTATTTGCATATTTTCTTTTCATGATCAGCTATATGCGCCAACCACATTGGCTCCTGCACGAGACTTATGGTTGTTGCGCTACACATCTGTTTTAGAAGATGGAAGCCTAGTGGTAAGTCAATGTAAAAAACCTTTAATATTTCTATTTGATTCGATGGTGTAGTCAAAAACAGATATCTCTTATGTGCAATGCCCAGTTCTATTGGAGGGTGAATTAGTTGATTCAATTTGTTCTTCATGTATTCACCAATAACCATCCAAACATGACCTTTTTTTTCTCTCCTCCATGAATGCACTCATGTAGACCTCCACATAAACCTTCACAACACATTAAATAACCCTTCAACTCTGCAACGATTTCATCTACAGCTACGACACAACCTCGTGGTAATGATTGAAACATTTTCTATGGCGTGAATGTTGCATTGCTGTTTCATTCTTCTGCTTGCGCAATATTTTTCTCTTGTTACTGTGAATGTTAGATTTGACTTTGCTGATTTGTTTGGTTATTGGATTTCGGTTGAGGATTTGAGCTGAATCTGGTTTCAAATTTATGTGTTTGCTTTGCTTGTTTTAAGTTGTTGTTTCGTGCTACACTTGTTTATGATATTAGCCACTGTTAATATTGGACTTTGTAAAAATTTTGAGCTCTAAGTTTTTTCCCTTTCACCTGCTTTGATTCAGTGGTATTTGTTTGTTTTTTAGAATAATTTTTAAGTCAAATGAAAGATTTGTGCTCTACTGCTAATAATAGTGTTGTGGTTATGTTAGTGATACTGCAACATAGTAAAGAATATGCTTGAAATTTTATATTTATCATTATAGTTATTTGCATGTGTAGTAGAAATGATCATGTATCTTTAAAATATTATGTTTATCATCATGAGTATTTGTAAGTGTAGAAAAATATAATTGTTTTACAACTTAAAATGTGACAGTATTTGTATGTGTAGAAAAGTAGTTTTTTATTTCAAATTGAAAAAAGCTAATAGAGATTTATGTTTCGTAATCGACACTATATAGTAACTTTAAAAATGTCATTTGGTACAAAGTATTACTGAAATAGTATGTGATGTTGTGTGAAAACTAGCTGATGCGAAAACAGGTTAGAGTTAGTTTTGGATGAAAAGATATTGTGAGTCAAGTTATGTGTTACAAATTGTGATGCACATTATATATATGACAGAAGAATAGTCCTGGTACTTTCCTAAGTAGACAACGTTGCCATACCAAATATTAAGAAGCGCATACAACTCATTTCTCTTTTGGTCATCACCTATTTTGGTCTCGGCTGCTACGTTTGGAGCGTGTTATTTTCTTAACTTTTTCATCACCTGTGGCACTTAGTTTTTTAAATCTTGAATTTCTTTTGTGAAGGTTTTTGAAAGGAGCTTCCAACAATGATCAAGCAGGGAAGTCACAATTACTCTGAGAGTGATGATACAATGCTGGTGATTTAGTTCAGTTTTCATGAGTATGTTGAGGATATATTAGCTTATAATGAATTTGTAATATAATGTATCACTTTATTACTTGAATGATGGTGGAATTGTAATATAATGTTAATACTTTATCACTTGGATTTGGATTATGATAGAAATATAATATAATTAAAATAATTTATGATCTCTTAATTATTTTAAGTATACTGAATGAAATTTAATGAGTATTAATTTGATGAGTGTTGCAGGAATGATAAAATTCATGTTAGAATTTATTGGTCCAAACCAATTCAACTCAACCGAATAAACCGTTTAAACCGATAATCCGCCAACCGATAAAACCGAACTTAATCTTGGGTGAAATTGGGTTCAACTTTTTCAACCATAGATTAGTTCGAATTAACTATTTTGAACCCAAACCCACGCATAATCGACCGCCGTCCACCCCTAATACATGACACCATAAAGGAAAAAGATAAATCACATTAATTGCCTATTTAATATATATAGCA